ATTATATGAAGTGGATGAGTATGGAATAATTGCTATGAAAGGGGTGATGGTGACGAGGATGGGTGGTGGCAATATAACTGCTTCCAGTCGGCTGGCTGCCCCCATTGTTCACTGCCGCCGCCTAAGGCTCTTCGACACCACTTGCATCGTCAGATGAAGCACACTTAGCCACATCGTCGAACACGTCATGGCTATGGTCATCGTGAGCAAAAGAATATGTCAAGCAGGAACGGCTGACGCGTGGGTGGGTGCGGGGAGAAATAGGGGTGTTTGGGAGTTTTTTTCCTCTGAACGGCAGGCTCGAAAAAGAGATTAGGTTCAAGTGGGTCGTGATTTTATGCTGTTTTCCACAGAATAGAGAGAAAGATTGCCAACGCATTCTCCTTTCGTTAAGAATTGCAGTGATACAGTCCTGTTCACTGCGACCGATGGGGCGTGTCAGGAGGGATGTGTTTGGCGCGGCGCGTGACCCGCTCTCTACCAAGTGTTGAACCGAGCAAGGCAAGACGGTATAGTCGGCTTCCACCTATTTTTGTCCCTTACCTGCTTCAACAACTGGTGGAGAACGAGTGTGCGGCCAAATCCGTTCCCACGTCCATCTCCCGCGTACAAGACGGCATTGAATGCCCAACGGCCAAGAACCAGTCAACCAAGCTTGAAATGATTGAAGGCTTGATTCTACCCGACAAAAGTCAATGCCAAGATCTGATCTGTAACACGCCAGGCGTACTGTTGCTTTGTCACTGCCACTCTTCACCGCTCTATAGGAACACCAAGGTAAAGAATGGGACTGTACACATAAGCAAGCATTTTAATGAGTGGCAGGCCTTTTCAATGTGCCACCAACCCCAACTAAACAAAAAAGAAGCAATGGTTCTACAGTATGGTTTTATTTCCCACAGTGAATGCTCCAGGATTTAGAGCGTGTCGAACTTCGATCATAACAGGGCAGAACCGATTCACCAAAGGCATCGGCCACGCTAGCCGCAAGGGCGGAGACAGGCCGAGCTGGCCTTTCCGATTGGTGTGGGCCATTTGCTTACAGTACTAGAAAAGAGAGGAGAACGTCAGAAACAGCTATTCGGACCTCAGCTAACCAGCCCTTCGAACTTGTCACGGCTGCGCCTATCGTTTAACCTACCGTTCAGACTCAGTAACGGTGCAACCTCGGCTGCTAGAAGTTAGAAGTGCAGCTAGAAGTTTATATAGATCATATCAAGGTAATCACCAAGCAAAAAAAATTAAGCTACTAGATTTGCCCCCCCCTTATTTACTTGTAGCGTTCTGGTCATCGTTCCGTATTCAACAATTGGGTACCAATACGATGGAAGTACATATTTCTGTATTTTCAGATTCCCATTGCTTTGGTCGAAGAATTCATCATTGTGACTATGTGCCTATTACAAAGGAAATCGCATGAAGGCGAGCAGAACCAATAGGAGCGCTTGAGAAAAGGGACCTCTTCTGTCTTGAAATGCTGTAGGTCCCGTGCCATTAGATTGCCCTAAGCAAGAAGTGTTGAAACGGTAAACGGAGGGGTCAGAAGGTTTTTAAGCTGTGAGTGGTACAGTACACTCATACGGAGTCGGAGTAAATCGAGTCCGCGTGAAAGCTTGGCAAAGAAACTGAAACTGGTGAGAAGAGGCGCCGCGCCAAACCCACCCCTCTCCCCGAAGTGTTCCATTTGTAACCCGTACCTGGAACTTTCCAGTGTCTCATTGAACTAGTCTGCACGTTTTCCGTGGCGATGCGCTAGAGCCTCTAAACGAAAAACTGTGCGTTCAATTAATGTTCTAGAATACAAAACAGTCAGAAGCCCCGTCACGGCTAGGAGCCGTCAAGAGGCACATTTAGGGAAAGCTGGAATGGCCTCGTAGGCCAGGTTTTGCACTAAGTGGCCTTGTGGACCTTCGCATTAAAGAAACATCAAAGAGTTGTGAAGCACGAGAAAGCGCTTTCTTCGTAGATTCCTTAATTGACGGCCTCAGCTGTGACTCTTTTAAAGGCAGTTGGCACAATAATTTGGTACTCGGCCAAATGCTAGCAGGGCGCTATATAGTGGGGAAAATGGCGAAAAAACGAAGTGAAACGGTCAAAAAACTGCGAAGAAAAGCCTTCATTCTTAATGACTCAAAAAAGCACCGTAATAACTTCGCGCATAGGAATCTTGCGCATAATCGCTACGCTGGGTACGGCTGTACCTATGCACTCAAATATCCATGCAGGTGAAAATGCAAAAATCCATGCAAATGAAGCAATATGAGCACCAGGTATGGTCGTCCATTTGTAGGCGGGCGGCGCAGTGGGCGTCCGGTCGGTATGTGGCCGCTTGGTAAGCCTTATATGGAAAGGCGCTACGCAGCTCCGGTCAGGGTCACAGCATTCCGTTCTGCCAGGCGTGTCAGTCCGTCTAGTCTTGAGGATTTACGTGCAAACTGCCTTTGAATGGAAACTAGAAAAGTGGACGTACTCATACGCGAATCGAAAATGGTGCGGTCTAATGGCGCGAAGAGGGAGACCCGTATTATTCAGGTCGCTACCCAGTAATATTCCACCTTAGAAAAAGTAAGCGAAGGACATGTAAAGAAAGTGAAAACTATTCAATGGCACTGAAAGGGTGCCTTCGTCTTATACAGCTTTCTACCCTATGATTTTCCACCTCAGACAACCTTTTACGTTCTACTCACAGCCGGTTCCAGTGTTGCTGCTGCATTTTTAGAACGTTTTGTAAGGGAAACAAGACGAATGGCTACCTTTGGAAGGTCTGTTGCTTGAGCACAATTGAAATACTACCAAGAATACGTCACAACTCGAATAAAGGAGGTCGTATTTAGCCGCAGGGAGAGGGCGATACATGCTGTTACTATATTATTTCACGCTAGATACATGCAGTCACTTTCGCTGCAAACAGTAGGGGGATGGGTTTGGTCATCCTCCACCAATTATTGAGGCGGGCAAGCACCGAAAATTGGTGAAAAACGGGATGGCGCCGCGCCAAACCATGCCCACCCCCTGCCACGCCTGAGCGTCTGCGGCGAATACAGCTCTATGTGCTCCCCACACTTTTGACAGCGAACTTTTTGGAAAACAGGACGAGATAAAGTGCTGGTCCATGCGAACGATTGGGGCGTTTAACGCGGTTGGGAACGCAGCCAGGGTGGCCTTGTTCCAACAGTAAAGTCATCCTGAGTCTGCTACAGTACGTGAAAACCTGCTTCGGCCGCGCTTCAAGCTGCGCCGCTGCCCTGCGCTCGATCGTTTTTGGGGATAACGAACGGGGAAGGGGGTCATATTGAGACCGTCTTTCTGCGAATCCCTGTGATAGCCGGTTGCGTAGCGTAAGCCGAAACAGTAAAGAAAGTAAAGCATCACATTTTAATGTCATTATCAGCAGTACCGATGGTAACATCAGCAAACTGAAGCTCATAACGAATCTTAAGAGAACCATCTGTGACTGGAAGACTTCGAAGAATTGGAGAACTAATAATCAGTGGGGCTTTATTCGAAACTATTACTACTGAGAAGCAGAGTGGACCGGCGACTCGTTTCGACTCGTTTCGATCGCAGAAACGTCGATGAATCTCCAGAGTAAAGATTGGAACTTCGTTGAAGAAAACGACGCCAAAACCTCAGCGTAATATTATTAGATCTGCGACGAACGAACGTCTTCCAGAACAACAGGCTTATTCAATTAGAATTCGCAGTTCTTCTGATAAAAATTAGCAAGCACAGTGTTCTTTGCGGAATCTCATTTCGTGCCTTCTCAGCTTTTAGGCACATTCCACGATAGCAACATGTGCAAGGCTGTAGATGAGAGGTGATTAATTCATCCCTCATAATCAGCCACGGTCCTTGCATGGGCGAGGTGAAGTCGCGCGCCACAGTAGCGTGAATGCTTTCCCCACTGAACTGAAGTGGGACAGAACGGTGCTGTAGCTGGGTAATGCGTGCCCGTATATCGTCTCCATACGTCGCCGCGTCTTTGCTCAAGGCTGCGTCGTGTGCCAGGCTTCCCGCAACGAAAACACGTATTCAGCAAGTAGAGGGACAACAGGAGAGAGCGTGCAGGCATGCGGGCCCGTTTCTGGAAGGCGACCTGCTGGTCATGCGGGAGGCCGAGACGAGTATTTGGGTAGGGCACCGGTAGTTATCGCTCCCTTCCAGTCCTGGTCTCGCGCGCATTTCGGTTGAGGAAGTGGCACGCTACTGACGCTGCGGACCCACTCTCCTCACCCACGTCAAGGATCAGGATCTTACTTAGGTGAATTGTTACATTTGTTTTCGAGATAAGTTCTCCTTTTTGCATGTTTTTGGCTAGAGACGCTTCTTGGACACAAGATGTGCTCAGTCGAGTGATCAAACGAGGAGGCGCGAAACGTGATGCGAAACCGAGATTTCTCACGGCTACGAGGAGTTGTTCTCAATACGACCCCATTTTGAATACACTCCCTATCGCGGAAGCGGGGAGGGCGTGGCTGCGTACGTCACTAGGAGACTTTGATGGAGTATTGCCGACTGGGGGCAACTACAGTCGTTGTCAGCACGAAAAGGATGGGCCACGCTGTCTCAAGCGAAATGCCCGCCAAATGAGCTACGTAGTCACGCCAGTGTATTACGTTTCGAATTCCTGAGATCGGGTAGGCGTGACCGCATTTTTCAACTTAACCTGAAGGTGTCTATGCTTCTGGTGAGATATTTTCATCTTGACACAATTGTTGTCGTGTCTCTGTCCAGCACAGAACAAGGTGACACCTGTCCCAGACTGGAACAAGTAACCAGTTCCGTGCTATGTTGAAATGCCACGCCTACTCTGGCTCAGGGATAAGGAGTGTACGCTCACGCAAAAGAATAACTCGAGCAAAATGGATAGCGGAACAGTAAGCGTTACTTGGCTGGGTCGGATGTGAGCCCATCGTTAGGTATCGACATTCTCCGAAAGTATTTCTGTCTTCGAAACACTGTATAAATGAGTATCCTCTCCTGAAAGAAAAGTCTCACGTTCACTGACCGTCAAGTTGTGCTAGTCGCAGCGATTGAGGATGTGATGGACAGGCACCACTGGAGAGACGAACACGATCAAACGCGATCCATGGAGCAGTTGTTTTCCAGGTAACTTCGAAAAATATCTGGAATCAGATGATTCTTCTCGGGTTCTTATCAAGGCATCAATTCAAGTGGTACCAATAGTCATGGGTCATCCGATTTTAGTTCCTTCTAAGAAAAACCGTTTCAGTTTTAGCCTCTCGTGACCTTTCTCAAGGCGTATTCCATGCCGGCCATGTGGGTGGAGTCAGCCCCAGCCTTACTCAGAAACCTGATTTAAACATCTTGGAAAAATGACCACATATAGTACCCCTCCGACGGACATATTCTCTCGCAGGCAATCTCCAGGAACTACACAAGTTGAACAGACCTGATGGATGTGTGACTAAAAACGCTGGGGTGCTGAACTCGGGAAGAATACTATTGAAGACACCTAGAATACGAGCTAGGACGTGGTTGACCCCCATGCCCCCCTCCCCCCCCCCCATCTGCCCCCCATGAATAACCCAGGCTCAAGAGGGCCACTTTTCTGCGTTCAATGAAACCTCTCTCAGGATCCCTCCGAGGATAAATACAGTATTGTTCACTATGGTGTGCCAGGGGGGGGGGGGGGTGATTGACGCTGGTCCGTTCCCCACCAAGTGTTGCGGCTATCTCGCTTCAAGAGGTGGAAAAGTGGCTGACAACCCCCCCCCCCCCAAGTCGATCTCATGACACGCCTCAGAAGTGGTAGAGAATTCCAGTATAGTCGTTTTCTTGTTCTAATGGCGGTAACGGCGTCGAGTGCTCAAAAATTAAAATGGCATGCTCCGCGTTGGTCATGAGGGCGGGTATAACACTATCAGTGGGATGCTCCTTCAAGACGGCGAAGAGAAAAGGCTTGCTAGTGGTGACAAACATCAAAATAATATCAGGCCTAGCCCCGCCTATATGATTAGCGTGGACTGCACATTTGAATGACGAAATTCTCATCATACTGAGAGTGAGATGCTGGACACTGTCCCTACCAGGTGTTATTCATTAGATCCACGTTGCGGGGACGAGCACAAACCAGCTAGCATTCAATGGCCACTCCATTCGGTATTCTGAGGGAGTCCATGTCAAAACAATTAGGTCCTGGCACCTGACCTCACCTTTGAAGCTCTTTCACGGTGCACATAATGAGTAAACTTTAGCTTTAGAAACTCGTTGGAACGCTGGTCAAAGTTACAATCAGTACTATTGTCAATACCTTGAATGGTCCTTTCTGAGCTGGCAGTGGAATCGTTATTTCTTTCCATTTTTGTGAAGGCAGTTTAGCGACGGATATACGCAGAAGTTGTTTTTTCGTTGTCCTTTTTTCGTCGCGAAGTTCGATATAGAGATGACCTATAAAGAATCCATAAGAGGTTGTCTCTGGAAGTATGAATAGCCCAAGAACGAGAGCCAGTCGCTGATATAAACTTACTCAGTTTGATCAATTAAGTGGAAATATTATTATTGTAACCACTGCGATCAAACGAAGGATAAATGCGATTCCTTGCTAATTTGACATGAAAATGCTAGTCAGCGAGCTGGAAATGTGAGCGGGTCGGTTACTTTCTGCGTATCGCCGCACCAAGGGTGGGGACGGGGGGGGGGCAGATCTTTACCTCGATCACCCATCTATTCTGTCATTCCCATAGGCGCCTTATACTTCATTACATCTCGCGATTTGACCGCGCATTTCAAGAAATTTCGCATCCGCCAAAGTAGTAAAGCCGCTAGAGCAAGGTGAAGCAACAAATTACTAGAGCAGCATCTCCCACCGGCATATCTGCCTCGCGTAATTATGAGAATTTGAAGCAGCAAGAGGGGTAGTTCACAACTATTCTGTTTCTAGTCTCTTAGATCCGTATGATATCTTACTATGATTGGGAAAAACGAATATAAGAGTGAGACAATGGAGTTCACTAACTACTTCACGCAGTCCCAGGCCCACAAATCCCAGATCAGCTCCTACCCAGACCACTTTGGCCCCTCTACCTCGTGCCCGGACCATGTAGGCCATCCACCTTCTGCGGCCGGTGAATTCGCTTAGGAATCGTCTGAGAGGACGAAAACGCACTTTTGTACATCGGCTGACCCTCGCAAGTCATTGCCTAGACATTCAATGATCGCATTCAATGAACCGCTGCACACATTGTCTCTGAACTGTGGAGGGCGTGGTCCTGTACTTTATTTGAACATGCCGTAGAATGTATTTTTGATGTGACATTTTTTGAGACAGCTTCCACCATGTCTTGTGTGCTAGACAGAAATATTATTACAACTGTCCCCCAACGAAAACATTCCACTAGAAGCGCAGCCGCCGTCAGGTTCAAATGAAGTACACAGCAATGCTCTCTCCATCTCTGACATATTGAATCTGAAGTGCGTGGCGCATCCGAAAAATGGATTGGTCAGAGGCAAAGGGTTGTTTCATCCTCCAAATGCAGCTGATGACAAGCACCGAATTTTTCCCCTTAGATTGAGAATTTCTGACATCTGCTCAACTTTTCTAGTCCTTTCGTATTCATCGAGAAATAGCATAAAAAATTCAGAAGCACTATCGATGGACTCTTCAGAACCTGAATCAAATGAAGGCAGTGTTGGATTCCTCCAAAAATATCCACGGATCAGCTTAGTTGGGTCAACAGCGTCAAAAGGCGCCGCTTCATGGGCAATCAAATTCTTTCACTAACAGCCCCATTATTATTATGACAGGTGTAAACTACCGGTTGACAGTCGCGCATCCATGGTGACGGTGCGAGATGAAAACAAATACGGAAGATGAGCAATAAAAAGACAATTTTTTTCTTGTGTTTAAAGCGAAAATAGGACACTTATTAAATTCTGATTGGACTTCAACATCAAATTTCAACAACACATCTACCCATACACAAAACCCCACGCCTTCTGTACGGAACGCCAATCGAGAATTCGCCACGCCGACCGTATGCGTCTCTAGTCGCGATGTCATTCTCCGCCACTGATAACCACCCTGTGAGCTTCGGTAATACGAGGTTAGCTCAGGTGACCCCTTATATTCCAATCTTCATCAGGAACTCAACGCCCCCCATTCCAAGTTAAAGGCGAGACTTTTTCCAACGTCCATCAGTGCATGACGCACCCATCCTGGTAGCAGAAACCCCTTTACAAGATGGTACATGCACGACATAGGCATAATTCCCTCGAGTTGCTCGTATGTGACCTCAGGTTTACATTCATCCGGCGTCCATGAAAGACAATATCAGTCTTCCCATTCCAAAATTACGGCTCATGCCATCAACCCGCCCTTGCGATCGGTGAATGATATCCTAAACCGTACGACTATGTCGGAGTTGCGACTCAATGAGTCTTAATTCAGGGAGTCGTCCCATTAGTACTTAGTAGACCGATTACAGATTTCAGGTTTTGGAGATAGACTGAATTCCATACGGCCCTTCATCAAGTGACTTCATATTTTGGTGTACATGAAGGTGATGGGCGAGAGCCAGCTCCTGCTTATCGAGGAACATCTTGGGTATCTTCCGCCCTGGTACTCGTATCCACGTCTTCTGTCTGGGCTGCGAAAACTTTACTGATATGTGACTCGGCCAAAGAGTCATTTTTTATTGCCCCCCCGTATTATCCCAGGGCCAAGGGTCTCGCATGGTCCATTTACCGTTATGGACGACCCCTGTTGTAAGTTGAAAACAATGAAGAAATGAAACGCGGGGATGTACTCTTGTGAGCCGATCCGCAGCTTGTCAGATGCTTTTTAAAAAATGTACGACTACCCACCTCAATTATTATCGCCCAGCAATTCATCAAGAAGCAGCATTCTCTTTGCTTGATTTGGAAATTTTTCAGTTTGATAGCAGCAACACGCTACATAGAATGTCAAGTTGGGGACAAAAGTTAGATGCTGGACAGAACTCGGACCTGCACCTCCCACTGAGTGCCAACGCGCTATCCACTGCTCCAGCAGGCCGCTCTTATCCACTCAATTTAATGGCTTTTGTTCCACTGAGCTTAGAGGGTAGGAGTAGCCCCTACTATAACTCTCAATCGGGAGCTACTGCGTTGAACAGCCGTTATCATACGCTGTTCGCTTGAGGAGGAGGGGCATTCTGATTGTCAGCTGTATTCCTTTTATTGCTAGAAGCAGCTCATACTACCGTATAGCTTGACTAGGAAACGCATGTCTCCACTAAATGACTCGGCAGTGATATGTATGTGGGAACTTGCAAAATACCCTCTCCAAAAAATCACACTGTTCTGACTCTGTTCTGTTCTCATTTTCCAAAGAGAGAACGCTAGGTAGCCCAGGCAGATATCGGATAAGAGATAAAACAGGAAGTTCCAGCCCGGAGCTAGAGGCTGCGAGGCTTATTCTTCATAAAGTTTCGCGTCAAGGTGTGGCCGTGTTACTCGAAAATAATATTAAGCGCTAACTCGCTAAAGACGCGCAAAAAAATGAAAATAAAGACAAGACTGCAGTCCAAGGATTCCTGGACATCGAATGGTGGTATTTGGGCGCCCGAAGAGAGGGCAGAATCTGATCGCAAAGGTCAGCCAGTGTACAAAATCTTCCGACAGTCCATTACTGTCTTTGGAAGGAACATAGACTGCGTACACATGCCTATTTACAAATCGGGGTAGGAAAACTTCCTGGGAAACCAGAGAACTTGCTGGCTTTTCCTTTGATTTAAGTTTTGCTCACAGAGTTTTATTTCACCGGGAAAGATTTATACTGGTCTAATGTTTTGTTCAGTAAGGCCGAGTCATCACACCGTCACGCCTCATTAGCTACTCTTTCAAACTCCTAGCTCGCACTCTCGTTATCAACAGAATTGTTGACTATTCTGCGACTTCTCCCTCAGCTCCGACGAACCTCCCCCGCCCTGAGCCAATACGACCCTTGTTGAGATCTCCTTAGCGGAAGGGCGCTACTACATATTTGACTCGGCATGACATCTGGCAGAGTTGCAAACCTGACAATGCTCTTGGTGGGACTTATGATCTCCTCTGCAGAGCTACTTATACTGTGGTTCGCTGCGGACGGTTGGGCGTGTCAGGCAGTATGAGTGTGCACCGCCGTCAAAGCCGTTCTCTGCCTTCTTGTTGAAGCGCGCATGCGACAAAAAGTGGTAGAAAACGAGTAATACGAACGATATGATACAGTCATATCACTTGCTCGCTTTAACAACTGGTGGAGAACGGGTTTGGCACCGCGCCAAACTCATCCCGCCTGACACGCCCAACCGTCCGCAGCGAACTACACTATATTCAAAGAGTTGTAGCTTCATCAGTGCCTCACCATTCGGAACCTCGGTTACCGCGTGATACCTCGCGAAGTTTATGTATCGTTTAGTAAGTCGCCTGGAGACATTGATGATCTGGAGGCAGTATCATCTACGCGTGTACCTTTTAGCTAGGGCTCTATGGAAAGAAAATAGGTAAAGTTTCTCCCCAGAATTCCATTCATGCATGGTCAGTTGATCTTTTCTGCTTAAACGATGCAGATTCAGTAAATAGCATTTACGCTGGAAAACTGGTCAGCTCCCGTGATTACAAGATTTGTCGTCCTAACGTTGCACTTGTGCAACGGCAAGTCACACAACTGCCTTCCCTTCTAAGGCAGAACTTTCGCATATTTTTTCACTTGCCGAGTCCAAACCTGATCGAATGAACCGAGAAAGTTACCGACCGTCGGTTGATGGCTTTAGGTAGTAGTTGAATTGCAGGCAAAGCGATGCACTTGTCTGCATGTTGAACATCGGCGAATAAAGTGACGCGAAGTGATAGCTGGATGGTTCCGTCTCCATAGTCAGATACTGGCTGCCTGAAAGAGCTATGGTTTAATGACGCTTTTCAGTGAGGAACAGTAAACCAGTCGATACCAATGGAAAGTTTGGGGTAACTACTCGAGAACTCGCGCTATTTCTAGGCTCTAAATTTTGATATTATGTGATGTAGAAACTTTAATGGAATACTTAGCTGCCTTCCCTCCAACCAGTGCTTAGGCTTATTGTTAGTGGAAACTACGTCTTTCCTGCGGGACTACCTCTCGACGACCATGGGTATCTACGTTCTAAGCCTTTTTTGAGAAGAGATACAGAGGTGTTCGAGGGCCTGGTGGTAGCGAAGTCGGATTTGGAAGCCAAAGCGTCACACATCGGGGAAGAGACTTCCTT